CCTTAAAAACATTTCGGAAGCATTGGCCTGAAAAGCTTTTCAACATACTCTTAGCTTATCACACTACATCAAGAACTTCAATGGGGACACCTTCTAACTTATGTTTTGGCATAGTGATCATTATCAAATGGGCGATAATAGTCTGAAGAATAAAATTTTCACCTTCAATTTGGGATATATGGTTATTTCAATCAACGTATAATATATCCCAAGAGAATTTGATTTGACATATTTCATCATAGATTAATGTCATTTTGTAATACTCTAACAAATAATATTAAATATATCAAAAATAGTTTTCTTTATACATCTCTCATCGCATGTTAAGATTTCGGCTGATATACCATTCTAATAACCTATAGCAGCCAAAATATCAAAGAAAGTTCTTCATGAACCTTCTTAGGACAGATCATAAAAATTTGGTTAAGATTGCGACATATACAAAACTTATCACTATCAAGTTATAATATCAATAAAACTTGTACATGAAAAGAAAAATGAGAATCAAATGGCCATAGAAAAAAAAATGCGTGAAATGTTGTGATTGGCCCAAGATTTGTAATTTCTTTTAGTTAGGTTCTTTTGTAGCAATTTGTATTTCCTGTTTTGTTTCTTGTGTAGCTTCTTATGCTACCATTAGAAGCTCTTAAATAAGGCTTGATTGTGTTTGAAATGATTCCAAGCCAAAGCAAATAAAGTTTTAATTAGATTTTTGTTTATATCTATCCCCTCTTCCCTCTCTCCTCTCTCTTAAGAAGCTCAAGAGAAAGTTCTTCTTCCTCTCATCAAAGATTTTATAACTGGTATCAAAGTTAGATTAAGCTTAAGTAGGTTTTCTTATCCAAATAAAATGACTCAAAAGGTGGGAGGCTCGGTGCCATTGTCGAGCTGAAGTAGACGATCACGATGGATTTTGCGTAGTCAATAGCACTCGAGAGGAGTGTATGGGAGAACAGTTGTGAGTGCGCATGAGGCACACGGGGAGTGTAGAAGGTCATGGTGCTTGTAGGGCGGCAGGTGGAGCTCATAGGACCGTAGGGGCGGGCATACGCATTATAGGAGCAGGGGCGCATGGGTGCACAGTGTTTGAATGCGCGAAGGTGTGCGGCGGAGCTCGTAGGACCATAGGGGAGGGCATACAAAATATAGGAGCAGGGGCAAAAAAACGATCACAAAGCATGAAATTCGGCTAAGCGCGAGGGAAAAAGGCTGCTCAAGCCTAAAGGCTATATGGGCACCTGGGATGGTCGAATTTGGGTGGAGCGCGCGGCTACTATATTTGCATTTGGCGGGTCGCAAGCGTGATAGCTCACGAAGGCTGCGAGCGAGATGCACGGGGTGCATGGGTTGGGCTTTGGCTAGAGGTAGATGTGGAGCTAGGTTCAGGAACTAACCAGAATTATAATGATTTGTGATCAGCAAGAATTTGGTTAAAGCACATGAGTCGTAAAGGCTTTGAGTTGCATTCAGAAGCAGGTGAAGGTTTGATAGCTAAAGATTCTTGAACATGTTGATGCAAAAGTTAAAAATCAATAAGTTTACAGGTGAAAATGACTTCGTACTATGGAGAATCAAGAAAAAGGTCATCCTTGTTCATCAAGGAACTTCCGAGGTGATTTCCAGGAAAGATCTTGGTGCTGTAACAGATCTAGAAAGGGTAAAGAATACAAAGTTGAAGGATCATAGTGTAATCTTATTATCATACGGTGATGTAGTCTTGAGTGAAGTATTTAAGGTTCTCCCATAGAAGTCAGGAAGAAACTGGAGTCCCTATACCTTAAAAGATCATATTGCAAATCTGGACTCAAGTCCTATGATCTTGATGATAACAAATATTATTGGATTTCTTACTGTATTATCTCTTGTTAATTGCTATTATTGCATATTTGTTTTTCCTATGCACTAACATTTCAGGTCCACCGTACACTTGCAAGTTTGATCAACTCAAGATTAGGTAGACTAGGGTTAAGTATGTCGTGAAGAGTTTGTATCTTCAATTCTTATGTATTTTTATTTTTTTTAAGTCAAATCATATATTTGGTGGATACTAAGCTTGGTAACCATGCACACACACACTCAAGTGAGTGAGTTAGTGACAATGTTAAAGATTTTCTAAAATAATCGTATTGTATGATCAATATCGTATTATATGATCAGCTAATCAAAAAATAATTAAAACTATTAATTGTGATAATTAATACAAGATGAACTAATCAAATTGTGCGATGTATATCATACAAGAAGATTAGTTGAAAATCAGGATTATAACTTTATGTCGCAAGTTTTTTTTCAAAACCTGACATATGTTCATATGATGCAGATCTTCATGATCGAAAAAAGGGGCAAATGATATTCAATAGAATATGAAATAAAATTCATGAACATTCAAACACTAATTTCACTAATTCTATAATCAAATTGAACATTTAGATAAAACGAATCTAATGACATTAAAAGTAATATGATTCGAGTCCCAATGAGCTCAATTAAAACATTTAAAAGTATAGCTGAAACTCTAGAACTTTAATTGAAGGATCAAATAATCTTTAATTTTTGCATGCTTCTAGTCAAAATAATGAAATTAGTGATAGGATTCCAACAAACAACAAAGTTCACTCAATTTTGTGATGATTAAGTAGCATAAAATATTGAACAAAATAATGTATGATCAATAAAATCGGAATGAGTCATCTAATAAAGTGTTCTAAAATTTTGACTACATTTATAAAATTGACACTAAAGTTTTAAATAAGCACTCTTTGCATTAAATAAATATTGACTTCAAATTGAAGAAAGCTTACAAATTCAAAGAACTCTATAGCTATATCTAACATTTATATTAATGATCACAGCCAACAATCATCATCATCATCTAATCGTTGGTGACCATCTACTATAATCTAACAATTGTTGTCTCGCCACCTTCAACTATGTCGCGCCTAAATGTTGCATTTTGTTCGATATTGCTTCATCATTATCATCAAACTATTATGATTTGACCATCACCCCATCGCAGCCACCCGACTTATATTGTTTCATCATCATCATCAAATAAAATTGATTGCTTTTTAAGTTATTTTACACTAAATTATAATGAAAAAAAGGTTTTGTTTGGGACAGCTTTCTTAATGCTTTTTAAAATAATTTTTTAGTAAAAAAAAATAGTTCAAGATTTTTTTTTTTTTACAAAAAAATTTTTCTAAAAAACATTAAGAAAGTTATCTCAAACAAAACCTAAATTAACAAATTCAAATATTCAAACAAAAAATAACAAAAATAACAGATTTTTAAATAGCAAACATATTTTATTTTATATTAAAATGTAATCAAAACAAAAAAAGATTGAAAAATAAAAGAACAAAAAAAAAAAACAAATAATCACATAAAGCCCATAAATTTAGGGAAACAATTCGCCGAGGAATTCCTAATTCGATTTAACACCACAAATAGCACAACAAAACCCTAAATCGATTGAGCGTTGTGAAAGCTTTCGTAAACTTACATGGTTGGGGCTTGGCAAGCAGTAAAAGCCTTAAGTGTTGGCTCGTGTAAATTGATGTGGGGCTGAATGCTAGGTCGACCGGAGTTTTTACTGACCAAAGGACAGTGCTTCCTCATCATAAAAAAAATAAAAATAAAACATGGTTGGGACCATATGTGCAGCACGTTGCCCCACATTTTTCTTCTCATTTTCTGGTACGATTTCTGTTCTACTACTTCTGTAAATGGTGAATTTCCTGTCTCCCACCAAATAAAGCATACCAAATTCATAAAATTGATTAGCTATTAAAGTATTAATATGTTTGGAGAGGCTATCAAAACGCAAGAGCTAATTCAACAGAATGGATTTTGGAGCAGCAAATAGTAAAAAATACAAAGTTCATAAAATACATCACTTATGAGTCGCCTTTTGAGAAATTATTATGTGTGAAGGTCAAACGTAAAATATCGTTCAAAGACCAATAAAAAATGCGTCACATCAATAATATCAAATCACGATACTAAGTAGTACTAAGCGAAGGAATGACGTGACACATTCTGGTTGGTTTTAAGACGACATTCAACGTCCTGTAATAAAGACCATTTTCTTTCATCTAAAGCAACCAATTCACCCTCATGAGCATTATGCCTATTTAAAATTTGGGAGCTTTACGTTTCATATCATTTAAACTCTCATATTTTATATATTTAACATCTAAACTTTACTATTTACTCACATATCCCTTAATTTTTGAAGTAACATAATCTTCCTCACATTTATCATCAAGACATAAACACATGAGCAATGGTCTTCTCCCTTCCGAAAAAGCAATTTGTTCATACATTTTCAACTCTTCTTTGTAGAAGATTTTGGGTGCACACACTACTAGCCTTATTGATGCCTACTTATAAAGATCTCGCCGCAACTTTCTATTCTCTTCTTTGTCATCAAGAGTTATGAGACTACACAAGTAAACAATTCGGTTCGATCAATGGCCTTCCGCTAACAAGAAATCTTCATGACTTCTACTCTGCACATGTTGTGGTCTCATCAATATCTTTTGCATGAGTAAGAGGCAAGGCTAATAGAGTAGCAGATAAAATTAATAGTAAGTTTTATGTGTTAAATATTTAAGTTGTTCGTTTTATGTATTCAATATATAAATCCCCTGTAATTTTTTGCCCACATGGATAAAATAGAACATTCTATTGGTCATGAGTATTTTAAGGCTTCCTTTGGAACAATTTTATATCATTATTTTTTTCCAATATTTTATGAGATTTTTGAAATTAAATAACTTATAAAATAATAAGAAAGTCGTCACAAACGAAGCCACGAAGACTAAAGCTTCGTTTGGGACGGCTTTCTCATTGCTTATTAAAGCAGCTTTCTAGTAAAAAATGTAATTTTTTTACTAGAAAGCTGCTTTAAGAAGCAGTAAGAAAGTCATTCCAAACGAGGCCTAAGTCTCAAACAAAAGAGTGGACACTTTTATAATATAATGCAACAAGAATGCTGGTAACACATCAAAATTCAAAACCTTAACTTGTCTATCAAAGTAAGAGATACTATGAAGCACGAAATGATAAGCACATTTAGCCTATGCGTGATCTGAAGCATTTATGTGGAATATATAAATAAATAATAGACAACTAAATCAGCGATACATAAAAGCTTAAAAATAACAAACACTAATCACCTAAGCCTATAACCACAAGCTAAAGAGAGCAAGACGGCAATCTCCCTTACAAAGTATGAAAAAGGCCACAATAATACAAGACGGAAAAAAAAAAAATACTTGCCGATTGGTCATTTCTGCATCAGGAGGGCCGAGATCTCTTGTTGCTGCTGCATGAGGGGCACTTGTATTGTTTGATGTGTTCGGCCCTCGCTGGTGTGATCTTGACACAATTTCCATGGAACCACTTCTCACAGACATCGCAGCAGATCCAAAATTCATCAGCATCTGCTGCGTAGTTCTCTCCACATGCACCGCATAGAGTTTCGCCATGATCATCTTCAGCCAAACCTTCCTCCTCTTCCTTGGTATGATCTTCATTTGGGTACTTGGACTGAAACTCAGATGGTTTCTGCTACATTTTCATGAATAAAGAAGACCGGGATGACAAATTGAACCATGTAGTTAACCGGTGCATGAAAGAGTAACACAGGCAATGCCAGCAAGTGAATTTACATGATCGAAGAGTGCACTTGATTTGAATAGGGAAAATACATCAACATGATCACAATCTAAGGCTTCGTTTGGGGAGGCTTTCTTACTGCTTCTTAAAGCAGCTTTCTTGACGGCTTTCTTACTGCTTCTTAAAGCAGCTTTCTTGAAGCAATAAGAAAGCCGTCCCAAAAGAACCCTAAATCTGGTGTGAAAATATTGTAAATGCATCGAAGCATATAATATGTTTAGACAATAGCAAATGATGATGTCCAGAATGGTAAAAGTGAAACCTAGCAACAAATAATTATATGAGGAAGGTAATACTAACAAATTACTTCTTCAACATAATAAGCAACATGAATAAAATTTTTGAGATAAATGAAGTCTCTCTTTCAATCAGTCAAATTTCCTGTCAGAAATTGACTTGGACATAAAAGTTTATATGGCTTTAACCAGCAACATTATCACCATTAACCTCATCCCAACTATTTACAATTTACTTGATAAATCAACATTTTCGTTCCAGAAGGCTTAAATCTAAACTTCGCAAATATTTTTTAAAAACTTCCATCCATGCTAACTTAATTTCTAGTGGTTTTCCTTCGTAATCTTTCGAGATTAGTTTTATTGATCTATATAATAAATGCATTGCTTACCCTTTGTTGACATGCACAAGCCACCTAAAGTCACTTTTCAATAATCTTATCTTCAATAGATGCTACTCCGACCATCCCTCTAATATAATCATTTATTAATTTATCTTTCATGGCATGCATGCATCTTAACATACTCAACTAAGTTTTCAACAACCATTTACTATCCAATATCTGGATCAATAACATAGCATGTTTAATTATAATTTTATAAAATTCACCTTTAAGTCTCATGAATCACATAATAGAGCTAAGACACATCTCTATTTTAACTTAATATTAACTCTAGAAGCTATATCATCATCTATATCCCTAATTTGTTGTCTTATGGATAAAAAATATTTCAATCAAACTTATATAGATATTGTTTTACCTACTAATTATATTGACTAATAATTTTTAATATTACGTCAATTAAATATTATAACATATACTAAACTTTTATTTTAGTAATTCTAAGCCTTCATCTTCTATTTTATAGTAAATAAATTACATGTCTCCAATGTTCCAATTCTCTACTTATTTTAAAAGATGTCTCATCAATTAGAACTATATCATTTGTGATGAGTAAATGCCAATGCATTTTAATTTGAAGATGATTTGCAAGCATTAACATAACTGACACCGGACCGGAGGGGCTCGACGAATCCACATTGACGATCCGGTGACGGTTGCCGGACACCACTCCAAGAACTCCTTGGAGCAAGAACCCACCACCTAAGAACAAATCTTAGGATACAGGAATTCACCAGAGAGTAAACTCAAATTTTATTCATTTCTAAAAAATCCCATCATTACACTTAATGGCTATGTATTTATAGACAAACCATAGCAACCTACTAAGCTATAGACAACACAGGCAAACACTAATCCTATGTAGCCATATAAACTACCAAATGGATTAAACTATCCTGAAGTTAATGCAATTAATTGCTCAGCTCCGGCGTCATTTTATCGGGGTAGGAGGAACTTCAGGCTCGTGGAAAGATGTCCGATTGGCCACAAGAAGGAGGCAGGTTTGGTTAGCTAAATCGGTCTGGATAGGTCCATCCGGTATCAACTTGCCTACCAATCTTCAATCTCTCAAGAGTAGCATAAGCAGATGGAATACTTGTGATTGAGAAAGCATCTTCATCTGTTAGATCGTCACCAATATAAACAGGCAACGCGTCCTTGCAATCTGCAAATCCAAGAGACTTTAACAAGAACTCCATGGCATTAACATTTCCCGTGCATTTGTCTCCACCATTATTCTTTTCAACAATGACCTCTTGAATTGGCTTGCTCTTATAATCATTATTCACAAGCGTATCAACATCAAGAACTTCAAAGAACATGTCGTCATCGTACACGTCATACACGGGTTCATCAAAGATAGGCAAAGACGACGATTTCGGCAACTGATCTTCAAATTCTTCGAAGTTGAACTCGATCGAGGGTGGGGTGGAAAAGATTTGATCATCTGCAATGCCCTCGTCATCGTCGCAGTTCGTAAGAATTTTGTTGGAACAAAGGATCTTGAATCCATCATGGAAGCATAATTATCCCACGATTGGAAACCATCAAAGTTTTGGCTGACGGTGCTCCAGTCTGTCCTTCGTTCAAGCCTTCACAATATTTGTTTGAGTCTAATAATTTCTTGTTGAAGATCTTCAATTTCGACTTCTTGAATTGGTCCCTGCAACGTCCATCGAGAAGAACATGCTCTATTTTTCTTTGGGTGGACAATATGAGCGGAGAAATTCTGCTTATTCTTTTTGCTTCCTTGTCATTTCTTCCAATACAAAGGCCACCTGCTTTTAAAAGCTTTTGTATTCTGCCAAGATCAATGTCTGAAAGCCAATTAGAAGCTTTTGTATTCTTCCTTCTATGAAATTCTCTTACTGGATATGCTATTATGTGATACCACCTCACACCGTCCCAGTCTTGCGATCAGAAGTCTCCACTAGCTGAGACGGTTGGCTGATCCAAGAACAAGGTAGCGATACCACCACATGAAAAGAATCAAGATACAGAACGTGAGAGAACACCGTCCCAGGCTTGCGATCAGAAGTCTCCATGGGCGGAAACGGTTGGCTGCTGGGAACAAGAATCCTGACTATGTCCGCGACTCCTGCCACGCCTCCGGACTGCACCTTCTCCGTACACGTCCACTTCGGCTCTGGCGTCGTGCCGCTCCACCCTGCCTTCGGTCTACTTTGTGCGAACAAGGCCTGAGATCTCTGATCTGTTCCCAATCTTGAATCAAGAAGCACCAGCTACGAGGCCGACGATGTCCGCTCCAGGCCCGACTCCCGCCTACAGACATGTGCAATCGCTTAACAAGCGACCCAGTCTTGATCCGCCTTCGCTCGCTCCTAGCCGGTGATGCGATTCTGCCTTCCAGTCACGGATGTCACCGGTGAAAGTTCGTTAGGGATGTTAAGCCCTATATAACTGGCCCAAGGCTAACCAAGAGGGGGGTGAATTGGTATTTTAAAAACTAATTTAGGCAAAGCACGAATACAAACCAAATCACCACAAAAAATAAGTGCGGAAGAAAATAAATGCGGAAGCAGTAGAAAACAAGAACACAAGGGTTTATAGTGGTTCGGTCAACTCGACCTACGTCCACTCCCCGGAGGCGCCCTCCGAGTATTGCACTACAATCATGACTCTCCTTTAGGCCCCACAGCTAGGCAGAGAAGCCTTTACAAACACCTCTTTTTGCCACACCCGGCAAGGCAGAGAACCTTCCTCCTTTTGCTTCCTCTTGAAGCAGGCAGAGAATCTCGATTGCTTGCTGGAACTTACCTCTCCCAACTCTTCCAAGGACAAGAGACTCTAGGGAAGAAGAAGTGGAACAATGCTTGGAGCAACCCTTGTGAATCCCCCCACAAGCTCCCCCTCACAAGATCCTCTCTCTCTTTTCCTCTCTCTCTCTCTCCTTTAGGTTTTCTCAGGTCAAGACAGCAGTCAAGAATGTTCAAAAACGTTGAACAAGAGCTCTTAAAGAAGAGCTTCAAAGGAGCTCATTAATTGCAAGTTGCCGACTTTATCGTCTAGGACGATATGTAACCGATCAGTACAAATCCCATGAGATGGGCCAGAGCATCGCCCTGAATGCAAACTGAACGATTGAAAATTGGCTTGATCGTCCAGGACGATCTCACGATCGTCCCGGCCAATCAGTTCAAATAAGAGGAAAATCGTCCAGAGCATCGCCCAGAATTCAAGCTGTCCGATTCAGATCGTCCAAGAGTAACTAAGGTTTTTTGACTAGATCGTCCTGGCCGATCCTGATATCGTCCAGGACGATGTGATCGTATCAATCATCCTTAATTACTGTCTTGATTGTCTGATCAATTAAGGCATAATTTGTGAATATCGTCCAGGCCGATCCTACATCGTCCTGGCCGATTACCAAAAATACAGAATATCTTAATTGTTTATGGCGGCAATTTCTTTCTGTTTTGAGCCTATCGTCCAGGCCGATACAAGTATCGTCCCGGCCGATTGGCTAATGACGGTTGCCTTAATTAAGAACCCCTGATTAGATTTCCTGTTTTAAGCCCGATCGTCCAGGCCGATGTAAATATCGTCCTGGCCGATTTGAGTAAAAATCGAAATTCTAAGTCTCTCAAGTGTGTGTGTGTAAGATTACTTTGCATCAGTCACACCAAAGATTACAATTGACTCAAGAAGGGAAAAATAAAATTACAGAATGACTCAACCCTAATCTACCCCATCTTGAGCTGATTCCGATTTCCGTTCGATCTTTGAGTCCTGAAAAGTAAGTAGAAAAAAGTAGTCGTAGTGAAACAATATTTGTTTGTTATCATCAAAATCATAATCAAAAAACATGTTTGTAACAACCGGAAGCCTCCTCCCTTTCTTGACCTATTGGGTAGAGACGTAAAACCAAGAAACCACCACTTGAATAAATTCAAGATACAGGAAGAGAGAAATCTCTCTCTCAAAAAAAAAAAAAGGGCAAAATTCTCTCCGCCATCTTGCCGTCTCTGATACCAAATGACACTGAACCAGAGGGGCTCGACGAATCCACGTCGACGATCCGGTGACGGTTGCCGGACACCACTCCAAGAACTCCTTGGAGCAAGAACCCACCACCTAAGAACAAATCTTAGGATACAGAAATTCACCAGAGAGTAAACTCAAATTTTATTCATTTCTAAAAAATCCCCTCATTACACTTAATGGCTATGTATTTATAGACAAATCATAGCAACCTACTAGGCTATAGACAACATAGTCAAACACTAATCCTATGTAGCCATATAAATTATGAAATGGATTAAACTATCCTGAAGTTAATACAATTAATGGCTCAGCTCCGGCATCAATAACCAATATAAAAAAATATGGACTCAATGTTGATCCTTAACAAAAACCCTAATATAATTGAAAACTTTGTGATCACACCAAAATTACCTCTAATATTAGTCAAATGCTCCATCACACATAACTTTAATAACTTCACCATACCTTTAAGACAAATATTTCCTTAGTACGCATTAAATCAATTCCCATATACTAAATCATATGCACCTTGTCAAGAACAATAAAAAACATATGATGATTTCTCAGATTTCTATATTTTTTCATTAGTCAGCTCAATACAAAATTCACTTTTATGGTGAATCTTCCTATCATGAAATCAAAATGATTCCCTAAAACTAACATAAATTTTTTAAGACTACGCTTCATTGCTTACTCCAATATCGTCATCATATATATCATAAATTTTATTCCTCTATAATTATCAAAATAGTAATATCTCTTATGTTATTAAATATTGATAACAAAATAATTTTTCAATTACAAGGGCATCAACTGAGTGTTCAAATTTTCATTTGAAAGATTTTACAACAATCTAGTAATCCCCAAAATTATCAAAGTCACAATATTTATCCATATGGAATAAAAGCTTTATGCTTATGCATTTCCTTAATAGAAAACTCCAATTCATTTTTTAATCTAATTATAATATAACACATCATTTTGTTTATTATTCTCTTCTAAATTAATTTCTTTAAAGCTCTCATTTAACATTTTCTCAAGTCAATTTTTAATATTTCTTTAATGCCATCATCGTTAACTAAAATCTTTCTCTCTGCTTCTAATGCATCCGATTTTAACAAATTCCATAAAGCACTTATATTTTACCTTAACTATTCTATATATCTCATTTTCCTTAGTATCAAGCATATTTTATAGGTCATCAGATATTACAGGTTTAGATTTGCTCCCTAACCTCTTTGCAAGACTTAAAACTTTCTTATAATCATAATAAAACTCAAATAATATTTATCTTTCTTCATCTTTTAAAAGCACATTTTTTCTTCACGCCCTTTTATGCCACATCAATCCACCAAAACTCATCACTATATGTCTATTTTTAGATTTTTCAAGCTTCTACCGCAATCTTCTCAATGAGACTTAGTCATTTTATCCCTACATCAATTTGACTCAAACATGGAATTCTAATTTGCAGCTCTGAGAAACATATCCTAAGGGATTAACAATTTCTAACATTCAAATTCCACCATCTTACCAAAGATAATAATTTTTTTATATTATCCATAAATATTATGTGTGATGTAGACAAACATTTTCAAAGATGACCTTATAATATTCGTTAAAAAACCAAAAAATTATTTCCTCCTAAGTAAAAAAAAATGTCTACTTGAGATTTGGTGGCTTTTCTCATTCTTTAAAGTATGTATTTGTTATTGCAAGATCATAGGTTACAACGAAATCAAGCCATGGTTTTCTCAAATTGCGTTTTTATCTCTAATTTCATATCCACCATAAAGCTTCTCATAATCTATCCTATTGTGCCTATATATCCATTTAAGTCACCCAGAAAATTTCCTTTCTCCCTCAAGTATACAATATAATAGATAGTCCCTATCTTCCCAAAACTAACTTCTTACCTTCTAATCTAACTTTAGAACATAACTAATAACTATACAATAATAATATCCTCAACAATAATTAAACTTGGGCAAATACCCCATCATTGAATTCTATTAACTTCAACAAACCTTTCAACTCTATATCAACTATCCCTTTAGCATTTTCATTTTTGACATTTCAAACACACAATAGCATCTAATATTCCTCAACATCATTGGATTTTTTTCACTCCAATTACTTTATAGCAAATAAGAATATTTAGCCTTCTTCTAATTATTGTCCACCCATTCTATGGACTTCACATTCAAAATCCCCTAATTCACGTATTAAATCAAATCTTAAATTTAGAATTATTCAATCCTTGCTCATATTTTCATCAAAATTGGGTCATAAATTGTGGCATGCCACTTGCAAGTGCATCCTCAGACAATCCTAGCCTACTATTTATCGTAATAAATAAAAGTTCTCGCACACCCCAGACAACCCTTGTTCACTTTTTTATCACGCTCATGTTAAATTATGGTGCATCGCTTATTGTTGATGCCTAGCCAAAAAACCGTAATTGGTAGCATAGGAAATATGTATGAAATGTTACTATATGGCCATGATATTGAAGATAAAGAAACTTGCATGATACTAGATGGAACATGTAAAAACTAAAAAATGATACTATATGGCAATTCTATTAATCAGCTTTGAGAAATCTAGCAATGGTAAATAGCAAACAAAAGTATGAAATGATATTATATGGCCAAGGTATTGAATACAGAAACTTTCATAGATTTTACATAGATAAAGCAAAAAACCACAAATATGTAGAGGGAAATATCTTGTGCACCACTTTGGAATTCGATTTTGATTTGGTGCTGTGGTGGTTATTTGATGTCCCCGCTTTGTTTTTCCCATTCATGACTTCATAAACTGTAGGCAGGTCGTTTATCATGCTAAACAGGCGCTTCCTGCATGAGAGTCATCATCAGAAGCAGCAGCAGCAACCACAGCCTTATACAAACTGTTGGGATAGCTCTATCCTAACAAACTATACTAAAATCTACAATAGTAAGCTATAAAAGAGGTATGTAAAGGAACAGAACTCAAGAAGCAAATGCATATGAAAATGATTATGAATTTCTTTTAAATTAATACATGCATAACATATTGTAAACTACACACAAGACAATTGAAAAAACACAAGAAGATAAAAGAAGATGAAGTATATATATCCTTTCTTAACTTATATTGAAATTAGTTTATATTGATATTTTTTATCATAAAAAGGTAATCACTTCAGGAATAGTCCCTTTAAAGCAATTTTATACTCAAAGTCATACGAGATAAGTTTGGGGCCATGGAAGGAAGCTCCTCATGGTAATACTAATTAGGCACTATATGTTGCACTTAACATCAAAATAATCACCCTCTCTAAGCTCTAAGCTCTAGTCTCAAAATAGCAAACCTGAGAAGCTAAAAGAAAGAAAAAAAATTAAATAAAAATAAATTTGCTGAATAAATGTCTTCCAAACATCCACAGGCCCTTGCAGGTTTCACAGAAGAACATCATTTAGCCACTTCTCATGTTCAGCAAGGACTTCTGAACTGCAACATACAATTAAGGGCTAAAAAGTAGCTCGCATTTTGAACATGCAAATAATGAATAAAACTTACACATACGAAGACAAAATAAAACTCCTTATGGGACAAAGTGGAGTTAGGGTGAAGTGAGATGTGCAGTCTGCAACCAATGTTGTTAGAATGGTAGAAGAAGTGAGCCAGTGAGGTATTGACGGAGGTAGAAATGTGGATGCAGAAACAAGAATACTGGATGAAGGATAGTTCAAGGAACCTACTACTGGCTCGTAACAAATTGTCAAGACAGATTTCAAGAGCAAACTTCAAAAGAGATGATACTGATGCACATATCCAACTTGTATGCATTTGCACCAATGCTCCATGTTTTTTGTACGAGCATGTATTTCTGCTCCAATTTTCTTGAGCGGCCCTAATGGAAACTTCTCGTGATGTAGGTGCACGGAAACCATGAAACCTTCTTTGAACAGATTTTGAACAGATTTATGCACAATCTTCAACAGATTCGTAATTCTCAGATGTAATATTAAGTTTCCGACAGATACAAATATTGTGCAAAGATTTAGGAAACTCACAAGGTTTACAAGATAGTTCTCTAACCAAATTTAATAGCGGACATGGACAATGGAAAAATCAAACTAAAAAAACAGTTTTTTATGCAATTTAAATACCTACTTACAAACATGTCTAAGAGAACTGATATTTAGTCAAACTGATAGTGCCTCCCTACTACAAGACTCATAAATCTACCATAATATTCATATACACCATCTTCACCTGTTTTATAATGTTTAGCTTCTTCATGCAGTTGATCCATATATTTACCAAATGATAGATATTTCTTTTTAATTTTTTTTTTTAAGTGAGTCCATGTAAGCTTAGTTTCACTTGCACCACATCGCCAAAACATTTAAGCCAAGGTTGTGAAAAACGAATCGGATATGGAACCAGAATAAGAAGAGGTTCAAGGTTCAATGGTTTGACCGGAATTGAACCGGATGACGTAATAAATATCATAATTATGCAATAATAAAATTCGTGACTAAAAAATATGTAATACACATACATAAATAATATATTATATAATTTTAAATATAAGCATATTCAATCTTTAAATTTAATTTATATTTAACATAAAATTAGTTTACATGTAAGTTTATAAATTTAATATAAAAAATTTCTAATTTATGTTATAGGTTTAGATACAATTTATATTTATAATTTGTATACAAAATTTATATTATAAAATTACATCTATAAATTCATGTTATTTCATTTATTATTAAAAGTTTATTTTTATATTATATAAATAAATAAAATTAGATAAAAACTTAAATATCATCAACAAAAAATTAAATATTATTCACATTACAAAAATTTTATTGAAAAATGCGTAAAAATATATAGTGCATGTGTAGTAAACTTGAAAACGTCATATTTATTTTTTAGTTCAACATCACTTACGCACTATATGTTTGTATTATTTATACTATTTTTTGGGTTCAAATGAGCAAAAATATCACATAGTGTGATGGGACCATGTGAAAAAGCATAGTTAGTACTTTTTTAATAAATAATTATTATAAAGTTAATACATAAAAATATATAACATACAGCATATGGCTCTATAACAAAAAAAAAGTATCACAATGACAATTAATAAACAATATTATTCATATGATTCCACATGACATTATTAATGTTAAAGGTTTCAATATTTGATCTGACCCGAAACTCGAACCAGACCCGACTCGAAAAATTCTGGGTTCGGGTTAACCTGATTGGCAAACGGGTTGGGTTCGAGCTAACCCGAAAACCTGAATGTGACCCAGAAATGACCTGGATCCCCGAACCCTAGCCCAACCTGCACTACGTCCCGCATTCCTACCCTCGCCTAAGACCTGTCTCGCCCTGGGGCCCCCAGCGCTTGACCAGAGGCCCATGCGCACATTGCCAACCTTACACCAGCATGCGCTACTAGCCTCGCACTCGCACTAGACCCTACACCCCATAGCTCGCCCTCGCTCGACTACTTTACGCCTGAGTCAACGTGTTAGGTCGAGTTGATCCGGGTTTGGGTCGAGTAGGGTTCGAGTTCAGATTTCTAACCCGTTTTCAGGTCAAATAATGGCCGGTCATTTTCGAGTTAAATCCAAACCCGTCCCAAAAATTCACTTTGACACCTCTAATTAATGTGTTGTCTTTTTTCCAACTATACTTGTGAATTATTTGAATTTTCTTTACCTCTCATGTCATGACTTTTTTCCCAATCATCATCTAAGAGGATTAAACCATCACTACCTTTTATAATAATCCAACTATATAAAAATCACGCACAATATCAACTTTGATTTCAAATGGAAAATAAGGATCATACTTTATGATTGTAAAACAATTCTTTAAAGAGCTGAATGCATGGTCCACGATGGTGTATCAATGAATGTCAAAGATTAAATAACTCATAATTTGCAAGTTGGATGCCATGAAATCATGATATCTTGTAGCAGAATATGTAAATGAAAAACTCTTCTTAGTAATAACTTATATCCATTGAATAATATTTACCTGTGATGTTTGATTCATATGTGTATGTTTGAAATATCACAACTAATAATGAAATGATACATAATAAGACTGTAACAGACCAGTTTGGGTCACTGTCTGGCAAGTTCAATTGAGCCGGCCAATCTTTAATACGCCCCATCGTAACTACACTCCCCATTCGTGAACCAAACAGAAGACGGACAGAGGCGGAATCGAAGGGCATGCGTGGAGAAGAATTGGAGAATCATTTCACTATTTTTAGAAATTGATTGTGTTTAGGGATAAGAATTTCCAACTCCTCATTCTTATCGCTAAAGAAGTGGAGATTTGGAAGGAAACGCAATAAGAAGAAAGTTCTGTCGAGAGGAACGGCTGAGAGGAAAGTAAACGAAGGTTTGTTAATTCTTTCTCTTTTTTTTGTATAAATCCCTCCTTATTCATCTAATCAATGAGGAATACTTAATTGAAGATAAAAGTAGAGATTGAAAGCGGAAAGGAAGAGATCAGGAAAGAAAGATGAAAGAATTCGATAATCTTTTCTTCTAAAAGTGGAATAACGAGTAAGTAAACTATTAATTGAGTTTGATTTAGATATGAATTTATATTCTTATTTTCTATTTGAAGAAAATATTATTGTAGGAAGGATTTAATTAATGTAAACATTAGTTCAATTGATCAATAGAGAAGGAAAGAAATTGCATGAAAGGAAGACAAAATTGTTGTGAGGTAATCTTATAGAAGGAATCAAATATTTGTTGAGGCATTCAAATTGAGATATAATATTAATTAAATTATTATATTATTTTAAACAATTAAATATCCTCAATACAAGACGAAGATTATAAGAGAAAACTGAAGTGGGTAAATGATGTTATTTCATGATTATATTTTATTCATACATTCTTCTAAATATTTAATTATTTGCATAAATTACAAATGTTGAAGGTATAAATATTTCATGATTATATAGTCTTTTGATTAATTGCATTCGTTACAAATGTTTGAAAGTTTCATTAAAGTGAAAGGTAATATTTATAGATATTCATATGCAATATATGCAAATGTATAAATAATGATTAAATGAAAAAATGAAAAAGAAAAGGAAAGACAAAAGTTATACATATATGAAAATAAATAGACATAAATATAACAAGGAAAAAGTATTGCAAATTACAGGAGTTCACCCACGTATGATACTTGCTGGGAAAGCAACATACCCATGCACGTAAAATAGAAATGGTTGTACATTTGGTATATTTAGACGCTGCTCCTGTAGTAATGAAATTGGAAAAATGAATACATTTTAAAGTGGAAAAGGAATATGTATTAAAGTGTTATAAATGTTATACATGAATGTGATATGATATGTACAAATGAATAAATAAAATGAAACGAAACAAAGAAAGAAAATGTATATCAAATGTTAAATGAATAAACCTATATCAAAGATTATATGTATTGTACTTATCCATGTTAAATTGTTTATATGTAAAAATTACCCACTGAATTTATTTAGTAAACTCAACCCACCAAATTAATGTTTCAGGTAAATTCCAGAATTAGAAATGATTGGAAGAGAAGAGTTTATTTATAGAAGACAACACAATAATAAAAAAAGGTAAATCGACTAATGTTAATTTTAAGTTTTTTTTTTTCAAAAGGTGAAATGAATAGATTTTTGGACTAAGTATATATAGTGGCTCTTCAATTAAAACGAGAAAGTTGTATGTTATATTGCTTATGAATTGTACTGAATTAATTCTACCGTCCAACTTTGAGTTCCCGCCTCGTTAAGTCGAGCATCCGGGTCGGGTCGTGACAAAGACGA